CATATCCTTATCATCATCATCGTCATTACATTACCAACAGTTAGTCTTAAATGGTAGTAAACAAAACAACGACGACAACAACAACAACAACAACAACTATGACGTCATTAATCGAAGCAATTCTATCTTCATCTAAAGCGAAAACTACGCAAGTGACGTCACCACCACCACCACCACCACCAACAACAACAACAACAACAACAAAATCAATTTCATTATTTTCAAACAAGTCAACAACACCAACAACGACAACAACATCAATTTCATCATTTTCAAACAAGTCAATAACATCAACAACGACATCGTCAACAACAACAACTGTTATGAATGAAAAGTCAAGTTTATTGCATCAACAAAATCAATACCATCAGCAACAACAACATCAACAACAACAAAATCAGCATCATCAACAACAACAACATCAACAACAACAACTGCAAACTAAACAACAACAACAACATAAAAACACCCACCACCACCAACAACAACAACATCACAACAAGCTACATGCCATCATCTCGATACTGGATGAATCATAAAACAGCAACCACATCATCTCAACAACAACAACAACATCAACAACAACATCTACAACAACATCAACAACAACAACAAAAATAACGATGACGTAACAGTTAACGATAGTAATTCAAATAGTAAACAACAAATCAACAACAAACCAGCAACGAGATACAAAAACGTCAACAAACCAACAACAACAACAACAACATCACAACTAAACATCTCACGCAAATTCGATGACAACCAGCCATTAGATTTAAGTTTAAACCACGAGGCTAAATATGCACACAATAATCATGATAGTAACTCCAACCAATCCTCAACATCTAATAATAGTAACTTGGGTATTTCCAATAAACAACAACATCAACAACAACAACATCAACAACATTTTCAACAACATCTTCAACATAGGCCGGCGGAGAAGAGTAAGAATTTTGATTATACGTTCTGCAAAAACCCAAATTTGCTACTGATTTCGAAAAATTTCGAGGTGTTTCTTAAAACATTTCACCATCCATATTATACGAACCATTTGAGAATACCGCAGCAAAATTTAGACGAGTTGTACAACGACACCTTGAAACAGCAACATCAACAACAACAGACAAGACATCAACAAAATTTTCAAAAACATCTTTCAAGATCAGATTTTGATAAAAATTCGCTAGAAAATTGTTTAAATCTGCAAGACTCTGACGACAGTAACAACAGCACTATACTACACAATAACATCAACAACAAATGCAACAGCAATGACATCAACAACAACCTCAACAACAACATCAGCAACAACAACAACAATATCAACAACAACAACCACATTATTGACAGTCTTCTGACATTGCATACTTCGTCATCATCGTTCGGCTGTTTTGAAAGCAGTTCGAAGATTTCAAGCAAGGCCAGTGACATCAAAAACAATTGCGTTAATGTAACGAAACATCTAAAGCAAAACAACAACAACAATAACAACGAAAACATCAACAACACCAACAACACCAACAACAAAAGCAGTTCAAAATCACATGAAAAACAGCAACAACAGCCAAACGAACAACAACGACAAAGATCGCCATCTTCAAACAACAACGACCACTACAACCCTACTAACAACAACAGCGACAACATCAACAATTCCTACAACCCAAATAGCAACTTCACCAGCGACACCACCACAACTACCACCACCACCAACAACAACAACAGCAACAACAACAACAACTTCACTATCTCCAACTACACAAACAACTCGACGCAAAAAGACCGATTTTCATGCAACTACTGCCTGAAAACCTTCCCACGGTCGGCCAACCTGACTCGCCACCTAAGGACACACACAGGGGAACAGCCGTACCTGTGCCTACACTGCCACAGATCTTTCAGCATCTCCTCGAACCTCCAGCGTCACATTAAAAACATTCACAGACGAGAAAAACTTCACAAATGTACCACCTGTCGAAAGTCGTTCTCCCAACTTATCAATCTCGAAAGGCATTATGCCAAATATGGCTGCTGTAATGGCGTTTTTGATGTGGCTACAGTCGCTACTGCTTCTAGTACTACTACTACAGCTACAGATACAAACACAACGATTGCTGCTGAAGCTGCTGCTTTTTCAGCTACAACTACTTATACAGCTACTTCTATAGCTACAACTTCAGCTGGTAGTCTAACCGCTAGGGATTTAGTCAGTTGTTGTAGTAGTAGTAATGGAAGTTGCTACAGTAGCAGCAGTGATAGTAACAGCTGTGAGGATGCTGCTACTATTACTACTAATAATAA